GCGGTGGCCAGGAGCGGCCACTGCACTCCAGGCTGGGTGACAGAGTGAGACTCCAACTAAGAAAAAAAAAATAATAATAATAATAATGGACACAAGAATAAATATAAATGCCTCTATATGATCCACCCTCACTTCCCCAGAAACATACTACTTGCCAGCTACTGTGTTTGTATCTTTTGCAAATTCTTGTCTAATCTTCATCTTATACATAAGTTTATTTATACACACATAAATACATTCATATAAAATTTATACATGTGGATTGATTAATAAGGTACATTATGAACCATATGGAAAAATAGAATTAAGTGGATGAAATAAAGGTGAAGAGGCAGGTTTAAGTTTTATTCCTTTTTACAGATGAGGGAACAGAGGATCCTAGTGGTTAGATAAACTGTGGAGGAATTTATGTAATTCCTAGATAATAGCTCCTATGAAAATTAATTATATCAATGTGCTAAATATATGCAAATTTGACTTATTACATTTTTAAATGACTATTATAATAATATAATTGCTAAGAATGTGCAACTCAACTACAGCTCATATCAACTTTCATAATTCCCCATACAAGTTATGTTTTGCTAACATTGAGTTATTATCAAACTAAAAACTTAATAAGAGTTCAGTAACAAGTCTGCTAGATTCCGATTTTTATTTTCTACTAAGACAAAAGTGAAAACTGACAAGGAATAGCCAAATTAAAAGTCAAAGGTAATTATGATAGTATTAATAAAGTAAAACCCTATAATTTTCTTTTCTTTTCTTTTCTTTGCCATAGAGCATATTGAGCTCTTTAAAATTCATGCAGTGAAACAGAATTTTATGCCTATTTTCATGTGACTATATAATATTCAGGGCTGTAGCTTCAGGCTTATAAAATAGAAGCAGCATGGTCTTTAAAGGGCATATGATCAGGAACAAATCTTATGTGGTACTAACAAAAAGAGCATGTAAAGAATGCTGACCAAAATGCATTAAAAATAATGGAAAACAGAATGCATTGTGTTCTTCGCTGCATTGATAAGATTAGTAATTTATGGGTAAAGTGCAGTCAATATACATTAAATTGCAATACAGATTGCTACAGTAAAGTAATTACACGATATACACTGGTAACAAACAACTCGTTTCTCTGTCAGCAGAGGTAGAAAATGATGACTTTTTTTCTTTTGGTTTATAGGCAGTTATGTTCAGCTAAAAAATATTTGGGGGAGTAATAAATAGACATCATTTAGTGTTTCCAAATAGGTACATTCATAACACCAGATTTGGGGGCAGCCATATATAGCAGTTTTGGAGAA